GACTGCCCCCCTTCTCTCGGGGTCGCTTGCCCTTCCCCGTCTCTGCAGCCTCCGGGGGCGGCGGGGCAGCGCCACTCGATGAGCTGCCTTTGCCGTACCCCGTTCGTGAGAACGCTACCGTTCTGTCCCCCTGTGCAGACGAAGAACTGCGGGAACGCTTGCGGCTGACGGAGCGGGCTGCCCGGGCTGTGGTTGCTGGGGGCTGGCGACGACGTGCTTTTCCTGCCATGGGCACTCGTGAGGTGGGGCGCTCTTCGTCTGACTCAGGCGGCGCCACCCCATGCTGTTGCCACATGTTCAATGCGTATACCGCAGCCTCGTACACGCGTAGCGGCCACAGCTCGACGGCTGCGTGCTCGAAGCTGTCCAGCGTCGCCCGCTGGCCGCGTCTGGTCGCTGTGGCATGCGAATGTAGGAGGTACTGCATGCACGCCTCGATCTTGTGCGCGTCAGTGGAGACTTGCGGTAGATCTGATCGGTTTGGGTAGATGTCCGTGTGCACGAGTTCCAACATCACGCGGTGCGCGTTCAGGATGTTGAGCTCGCGCACCAATGTAGTGCGGAACTGGCCCATGTCTTTAAGATGAACACGCATTGCGTCTTCATTTGCATTATCCGCATCAATTTCCGTCCAATCGAAGACGTTGGTCAATTCGACGGCGACCCTGTAGGCTTGCTCTGACATCCACTTTGTTTTGACGTTGAAAAGGTCAGGGTCGTAGACGGAGAACTCGGGCGGCTCGTACCACATGTCGCATATCTGTGCCTCACAGGAGGCAACAGTATTCGCCTGGTGATATTCCTCACGCTCGTCATGTGCATCGAAGTATGTAACGAGCTCGTGAGCCGCCCTCGTGATGCGATACTTGTTTATGGATAGCCCGATGTCAGCCTGGTGAAAAGCTGGAATGGGAAAGCGGCTGTAGTACAATGTACCCTCCTCATGGCGCACGTCCGAACCGAACAGATAAAACCTATACGACCACCCTTCGGGTGATAAGGAGGTTGTGGGAGGGGAGAGGGGAGGGAACCAACAACATCTGATTCAATCGATCTCACGATCGATCTCACTCAACGGGACACCACGGAACACCACAGGACATCACGGGTCACCACGGGACACCTGTCGATCTCATTATCGATCTCTGTATCGATCTCACTCAACGGGACACCACGGGACACCACGGGACACCACGGGACACCTGTCGATCTCACTATCGATCTCACTATCGATCTCACTTTTTGGGACACCACGGGACACTTCGGGACACCACATCGATCTCAGTATCGATCGCACTATCGATCTCACTATCGATCTCACTCAACGGGACACCACGGTACACCGCGGGATACCGCGAGCCACCGCCGGACGGGCGGGCGGGCGGGGGAGAATCATTTGTCTTGACTTCGCCCTAGCAACGGCGGACACCGCGGGACACCACGAGACACCACGGGACACCGCGGGACACCGCGGGCCACCGCCAGACGGGCGAGCGGGGGAGAATCATTTGTCTTGACTTCGCCCTAGCAACGGCGGACACCACGGGAAAGCACGGGACACCACGGGACACCGCGGGACACCGCGGGACACCGCGGGCCACCGCCGGACGGGCGGGAGGGGGAGAATCATTTGTCTTGACTTCGCCCCGGCAACGGCGGGCTCATTCCTCGAACGCGCCCACGCAGCTTCGCCTCGCCCGCACGCACGACACGAACGAAACGGAACGATTTCCCCGTTCCACCTCACCCCCCACCCTCCGATCAGGCACGCATCGGCGATCAATGGGCGACTCGGGGTCGATGCATCCCCCCCTGGGCCTTTCCCCACCCAACGTTGCCCCTGAGTGCCCCCGACGACGGCCGCAGCTGTGCAGTGAGGCCCGGGGCAAGCCGGGTCGGGAGGCGGAGCCTCCGCCGTGGAGCCCAGACCGGGATGCCCCCCGGGGCACCACCAGGCAGGCGGCTAGGGGGCCACATGCGAACCCTACCCCTGGCCCACACGTTTTCTGAGGGGGATTAGGGGTAGGGTTCGCATGTGGCCCATTAGCGGCGCACAACAGAACGCATCAGCGTGAAGGGAACGGGTCATGAGGGAAGCGGGTCCTGGACCCAGGGGCCTGCTTCCAGAACCAGCTTCTCACGCGGAGTCCCGGGGCCCGGGGAGGGCCACGGGAGCCAGAGAGCCGGGAAGGAGCTCAGGGCCCGTTTCCCTCGGGCGGCCGCTACCCTCGATCGATCCTTCGATCTTTCCTTCGTGGCCACCTGACCAGGTCGGCCTCGATGTCCAGGCGAGCAGCAGCTGCAGAACACGCACCACGAGCGCGTGCACACCCGAGGAAGCTGGAGCAGGCGACTCAGAGAAGCCCTCCTTCTGATTTCCCTTCGTGCTCTCTGCCGAGGAGGAGGAGAAGGAGGAGGAGGAGGAGGAGGAGGAGAAGGATGAGGAGAAGGATGATGATGATGATGATGATGATGATGATGAGGAGGAGGAGGAGGAGGAGGAGGAGGAGGAGGAGGAGGAGGAGGAGGAGGAGGAGAAGAAGGCGCGCTCCAGCTCCGTGGCAAGTTCGCCCAGCGCACGGAGGAGGAGGAGGAGAAGGAGGAGGAGGAGGAAGAGGAGGACGTCCGACGACGACGACGACCCGGAACTCTGACGTCGCATTTTTTCCGCAACGTGGAGCCCCTGAGGTCAGGGCCCCTTTCCCAGGAGTGGCTTCTCGTCCCGAATCGTTCTCTGGCAGCCTCCCGTGGCCAAGGGAGAAACCCCGGAGGCCGAAAACTGCCCAAACCGTCCTTCGACAGTTTTGCCATTATTTCTACCACGGAGGAGGAGGAGGAGGAGGAGGAAGACCAGTGTCCAAGACTCATCAACGAGGTTGGAACGAATCCTCCCTCCAATCTCCCTCTTCATAGGACCCTTCAAGGGCTCACTTCCACTGAGGGAACAGCTTCGTTGGGAGACAATCATCTGAAGATCCTGAAGCGTGCCAAAACACCATGAGGCTCCAGCGCCACACATCGACATGACTGTTGCGTCTTGACGCTCCAGAATCGTGCCAGAACACCATTCCTGGGACTTCAACACCGCTAATCAACGCAACTATTGCGCCCTCACAATCCTGAGTCCTTCCAAAACACCATCTCTGGCAAGTTGACCTTGGGAATATGTGAAGCTTGTTTAAAGACGAGCGTGCTCGACGCGAAGGCGAGAGCCACATCTTGAGGAGAAACATCCGTGAAACTCTTGCAATTGTTGTCAAGCGAATGCGCATGGAGCTAAGGCAAGGGCCACATGTTGAAAACCACACGCCCTCAATCCGCAAAGCTCTTGCAAAACCTTAAAGCGAATGTGCGCGGCGCTGGGGCGAGAGTCACATTTTGAATTCGGCCCGCCCTCAATCCATGAAGCTCGCACAACTTGTTAAAGCGAGTGCGCGCGGCGCTAAGGTGAGAGCCACATTTTGAAAACCACACGCCCTCGATCTGCAAAACTCTTGCATATTTGTTTAGCGAATGTGCGCGGCGCTGAGGCGAGAACCACATTTTGAAAACGACCCGCCCTCAATCCGCGGAACTCTAGCAAAGTTTTGAAGCGAATGCACGCGGCGCTAAGGCGAGAGCCACATGTTGAAGACGGGCCGCCCTCCATCTGTGAAACTGAGGCCAATCTGTCAAGGATCATAAATGGTGAGGAAATCTGTGGCGAAACGGCCGGCCCGCCCCTTCGACCAGCCTTGGGATGCGACAGGGAGGAGTTCTTCATAAGGACAAGGAATTCAGGAGGAGGCCGTAGCCATTTTGGCTCAAACTTGTCAGGCTCAAATGGGCTAGCGGCATGGGCGAGGTGCCATGGGGCTGGACCGTACGTGTGCCGACTTGAGCGCCAGTCGATGCTCGCCTTCTTCGGGGCGGTCTTTGCCTGTGAACGCCGAGGTGAATTGGCGGCAGGAGTATCTCGCACATCCACTTGCTCACAGCTGGGTAGATGTGTTGGTGGTCGCAGATTGTTCCCTTTGTTCGCGGATGTACTCACTCAAATTCGGGTTCTTGGGCGCACTCTTCGTGCTGCATGATGAAGTCATTCTTTCAACTGCAATGGTGGGAACAGGATGTGGCAGCCATCCGTACACTGAACCGAGCAACATGTGAAATAGTGGTTTCCAGATTGGGCGTGGCGGCGGCGTGGCGAATTCTACATGCGTGCATCGCCTTTGTGTTCGTCCTGTGCTGGGTGCGATTTCAATCAAGCGTCCACCAACTATTTGGCACTATAGGTTACCACGTGCTTGCGTTACAGTCACAGTCACACTTCTCTGTAGTGCGAAGCTGGAGTCCCATCGGCGATTCTCTGGTGTTCTGTGCTTTTTACTGTGTTCGCATCGCTCATGTACGCTGGACTGGCCCCTCGGCCTCCACGATTCGCCCCAATGCAGTATTGCAGGAGGTGTGTTAGCTTTCGGTCGCGTTGTTAGTGGGCGTCCGCGGGATTCGCCGTCCCCAGTCTTCTTTGGCGTTGTCGTGCACAAGTTCTTGGAATCCCTGGGGGAGTTTCGTTTTTGGTCGTTTGGGTTCTGCTGGTGGCGACGTACCTTTGTGTCTTCAACATGTAGTGTTGTCTGTTGCTGGCATGGCGTGTTGCCTGTGTGCAGATTCCTGGCATCCGTGCAGAGGAACACGCGTTCGGTTTTCTTCGCGCATCGGCGCATGAACTTGAACTCCTGAGGCGCCGTGGAGAGGTGTGGTCTGCTTGGCCTATATCCTTTCTTGATGCGTCGAAAGCATTGACGGAGGAGGTGGAGGACGACGAGGGGTTCGGAGGATTGCGACTGCAGCTTGGGCAGTTCTGGGGTATCCTTGCCGTTGTGCATTGCTCTGTACCCTTGTGGGCCTCTCTTCATGTCCAATGTTCGTCGCCCTCCTGTTTCCCGTCGTGCACGCGCTGTTTCTGTAGGGTTCCGATACACGTGTGTCTAAAGTCACAGCGGGCAAGTCGCGACGGCTCACGCAAGCCAGCGTTTGTCCAACGCAGAAAACGAAGACGAAGGGGGGGAGGGGCGGATAGCTCTGATGCCCTCCGACCTCTCGTTGATCCGCCGCTCCTCGCGCACGTGGCCCATGGGGCTCTGGCGCTCGATCACCAGCGCTCCGCCCTCCCAGAACGCCTCTGGTTGCGTGATAACCGACCCTCGAACCGAAAAAAAAGGACTGCCCATGTTGCACAAAAGCTGACGACTCTCGGTCGATAGATTTTCGAATAAGAGTCACGTCTACATCGCAGGCGGGGGGGGGCTGGGAAGTGGCATGTTACTCCTCGCCGAAAGTCTTCCCCCGATGATGGCAGCCGCGATCGCCGCGAAGACCTCCAAGGCCGCCTCAGAACAGCCCCAGAGGCTTGGTTCAGGGTCAGATATCACGCAACGAGCCTCGCACATCTGCTCGTTCTTCTCCCCGTCCAGCGTCGCGTACTTCGGCCCGCCGACGTCGACGCTCTCCTCTCGGAGCGAACGAAGCCAAACATCCCCCGCGACGTGAAGAGGTCACGACGGGAGGTCTTCTGCTGTATTCGTTATCCGAGGGCCCTTACCAGGCCCCAGGACCGTCAGAAAAAGAATCGGGATTGATAAGCTGGTCTCCAGGAAGGGGTCCACGAAGTCGGGCGCCTGAGAACCCCGAGACCCGACGTCAGAAAAGAACTGGGCCATCGCAAAACCCACAGCCCGATCCGTCGGGCCCATCTTCATGCGGCATTTCTCGAGGCGGATCGTTCCTGCAGTGTCGTTGGGCCCGAAAACAAGCAAAAACGCCTTTTAAAAAAAAATTGCAACGCCCAGATCTCCGGACATGTGGGGACTCTGAGACTCGGGCGCTGAATGTTTCTCACTCTAAGCATGTTCGCCTGGTTTCGAGCCACATGACCCTCACAGGTCGTTTCGGCTCCAGAAATGCTGCATAAAGATGGGGTCGAGGGCTTCGGTTGTGATTGTACACGAAGTTGCACCTTCTTGCCGACAACGACTCTCAAGAGATCGCAAATGGGTGGATTTGGGAATCAGCTGCACGCAGCCGGGCGGCCGTGCGTCGAGGAGTCTGTCCGGCGGCGGGGCCAAGAGCGGCTGCATGCAGCAGACTTCGTCCCTCTCCTTCCCCGCGCCCCCCGACCGTCAAAAAGCAAGTCGGGATGAAGAGCTGGCCCCAGAAAACAGCACGAGACCTCGGGGGTCCACGTTGTGAAGACATGACGGCGGCGGGGGCCTGGGAGGGAGAAACTCTGAGGGACTCTGACGAAGCGGGCCCTTCGATAGCCCCTTGCACGCAGGCAGAGAGGCTCGGGTCCCCCCATTTCGTCCAGCCCGATCCTCGAGGATGCCGATCATGGTGTGGTTCTTCCAGATGAGGCCGCTCCCGCTTCCTGTTCTGAGGTTACCAGGAGTGGTCCCTACCAAAGATGTGCCCAGCTTCTCGCGCCAATTTTGGGCGCGGTCACACATGGCAACATTCGAACTCCGCCTGGGGTCCCCCCAGATGTCCGACAACTTCATTCGTTTTTGTCCGAGTCGTCGACTCCCACCGCTCTCGACCACTTCTCTGTAGCTGGATGAATAGTTTGACGGCCCTGGGACCAGGAAGCGGCCCCTGGACGCCAGGAATGGCGAACCCCCGCGGCGGGATGCTTTTTCAAATCACCAGAAGTCTGGCCCTCCCCTCGAAAAGCTACCCCCGCACCTGTCCAGGGACACGCCTTGGCAAAGATATCGATCGACATGCAGCCGCGAGGACGAAGGCGCTCTGGAGGCGCCCCCCCCAAAAAAGGGAACTCAAGAACCCTTGAATTTCGATCATCAGCGAGCCTCCCCTCCCCTTGCCTGGGTCATCGACGATGGTCATGCCCCGTCGACGATCCTTCCCCGTCGACGATCCTCATCCACCCAAGCCTTCCTGGCCACAGCATCGCACTGGAAATCTGGAGGGCGGAGGTGAAGGGCGGATGCGCCTGCACCACATCCCGCTTCTCTGCGAACCTCGGCGGGAAAAACTGTTCAGAAGAACAACCAGTGGCATAAACACCAACCTTCGGAGGCCCGCTCGGATTTCTTGGGTCGGCGCCGGACGCCCCATCCGCTGGCGTTGCGAAGCGCGCAGCGAGCGGCGCTGAAGGCCTAGCCGAGGGGGGCGCCCAGCGCGGACTCTTCTTCCTCAGGTGCTCAGGCTCGCGGCGTCCCAGGGCGGATGCGAAACTTCGTCCACTTGCAAGCCCACGTTGCACTCCTGGTATTTCCCGCCCCGTGGTGCATCCTGCGGCGGTCTTCGCCGCTCCTGCAGCCAAGGGTCTGACCTGCCCCTCCCTGCACGCCCGCCACGACAGTGGCCTGCTTTGTTTGTCCGGGGACTCCGCCTGGTCGACGGGCAGAGACTCCATCGGGACCTCGAGCGCAGCGTCCCTGCAAGTTTTTGCGCATGCCATTTTTGTTCCGCGCCTCTTTCGGCAGCGAGCCCGGGGCGGAAGTGACTCAGAAGACTCGGAAGTCCCCCAGCCTTCTGGGAAGTTTTCTAAGCTTTCCCCGAAGACACTGAAAACTTCTCATAAGGCGCCGGCGCTTCTGAGAAGTCCCGCCGCCTTCTGAGAAGGCCTTCTCCTTCTCGTCCCCCCCTCGCTCGCCGCCGTCGCAGCGTAGACCTGCCTGCGGAAGATCAGTCAGCATCGAGTCGGGAAACCGGATCCGACTGTAGCGTGCGTCGGATCGGGCCGACTCGGCATGGTGTCCGAATCGAATCGCATCGGCCGCGCCAGTATGCACAGAAGCGCCGCACAGGCAACTGGCCGCATCAGACCGACCGAAAACCTAGGGCGACCAAATCTATGCATATCCACTGCTCCCTGGCCAGGCCCATCCTGAACCAAGCAGCGGTGTACACGCCACGCCCTTCTGGCTTGGCCAGGAGGGCGCATACGCAGCTCCTGGGCCCAGGAAGGGCCCGGCCAGGGGGCCCCGGGACATGTGTCAAAACTTCGTCGCCCGAGAACCGAAGCCGAGTCGGAGAGGGCCAGGCGAGAGCGGCCTCGGACCGGCATCGAAGTCGGATCGGCACCGGGCCCTGCGGGGCGCCTGGCCGCAGCGTTCGCGTCGCAGCTCAGGCCTCCGGCGGCCGCGCGGGGTCCGAGCCGGGCATGCCCAGGAGGGCGCTCCCGGCGAGAGGCGCCTGCCAGAACCCGCCCCGAGGTAGGAAAGCCCCCGAGGGCCGAGCCCCAGCGAGAGCTCGAGGCAGGACCTCGGAAGCTTCAGAGGCGACGATAGGGGCGAATATCCCAGGGGAGAGCAATACATGTATCCAGGGGCGCCGATGATCTATGTCTTCGACAAGGCTCCCGGGCGAATCCGTGTGGTGCCCGCCCCTGGGCTATTCGCCCTTATCGTCGCCGCCAAGAGCTCGCCGACGCCCTCGCCCGCGCCGACCCGGCGAACCGTGCGTGCCGAGCCGCGACCAGTCGGTGGCAGTAACCACGCCTGCCTCCACCGAGGTCCGGCGGCTCTGGAGAACGTGTCGGGTGTCGCGGCCTGCCCAGAGCGTTCCAGAACGCTCTGAGGCTCTGGACTTCTCCGCCTTCCGATTATATTCCTGCTCCCTGCCTCCTCCTCCTCCTCCTGCTCCTCCTCCTCCTCCTCCTCCTCCTCCCTCTTTCCTCTTGCCCCCGCCTCTCATTTCTGGGGTGCGTCCTGTCGCCAGCACCAGGGCGGGCTGTCACCCGCCGCCTGGGTGTCGAGAAAAACTTCCTTGATGGACGTACCCCTGGCGATGCGATCTGGACTCCCAGCCGACACGCCTGGCCCCGGTGGACACCAAACCAAAAAAAATGGGTCTGGTGCCAGGGCCGCGGACTCAGCAGAAGAAGGAGGAGGACCGGAGTAGGAGGAAAGAGAAGGGAGAAGGGAGGAGGGAGGAGGGAGGAGGGGCATGGGTGAGATATGTACAAACCGGATGCTGGCCCGAGACGCCCTCCAAGAACGACCCGAGTCCCAAAACCGTGCGGTCACCACGAATCCCCACCGACTCACCGCACAGCGTGGTCGCCGCACTGTTATGTTAGGGAGCCCCCGGAAAACGGAGCCCTGGCCGATCCTGTCTGCCCGTCGCCCCCGTCCGCTAGGAGGAACTCCCACTCTGGCCACTTGGCCGCCTTCGCCGCCTGGCGCCGCAGGTAGGGCACGCCGTGGTCCTGCCGGGCTGGCCGGAGAGCGCCAGGCCCGGTGGGGGCTCGGGGCAGGCGCCGTTCCCAAATCTCCGACGGCGGCTGCTCCTCACGAGGGGCCTCTGGGGCCCGTCAACGAGCCCGAGGACCACCAAAAGCGGATCCAGGGCGAACAACCGTACTGCGGGGAAGGGGTAGGGACCTTGCTGGGGCCGCGCATGGAAAAATCATACCGGCGGACATGGAGGTACAGTATTTACACGTAGGGAGCTCTTATTTGCTCTCTCATGCGCTTGGGCGGTGGCTCCAACTTTTCGCATGGCGCCCGCCCGTGAAAGCCTCGTGGGCGCTTCGTGCTGCTGGCAGTTCTGGGTTATGGCCCAATCCCCGCCCAGTGCCCGCCCGCGTGCGCCTCGTGGGCGCCTCGTGCTGGGCGGTAGCTCCCGACTTTCGCCCAGTGCCCGCCCGTCGGCGCCCCGTGGGCGCTCGCACAGCTTGCGCCGAGTAGGTTTTCCTTTCGGGAGAGCAATGGACTGAACATCCCTCCCGAGCCCAGGATTTGCGCTGACCCCTTGGGATTGCACAGGGAACAAATGATTCTGACCCATCCTTCGCTTCGCATATGAATTCATACCATTCCAGCCAATATGATACCGTCCTGCAAAAAAATACGGTGCGGTGAACATGCGTTGATACAAGAAGTGCTCTTGCTAGGAATCCCTTTCTAACAAATTCATCACGGGGAACATACGCGCGCCCCGCTGAGCGCGCATGTCAAAATGTCTCAAACCACCTGCTTCTTCAATAAGCTCAAGACACGGCGTATGGGAAACTATCCAAAACCGATTGTTTCTCAACAGGAACGGCTTCCACTGCAGCCAGCTCTGCACAGCCTCTGGGAAACGACGGTGGGTCCTTTGAACGTGACCTGGGAGAGGCAT